AACTTCTAATTCACTTACACCAATACCCTACTGTAATAATTCTTAGATCTTATCGAACCTCCAACACACTCACCAATCCTTTTTCCCTATTCACTACTCTCTTCAAATTCTCATTTCCCAAAATCCTGGTTGTACCCAACTATCTGCCTTCTCTGCATTTAATTTAGAGCAGCTTCAAGTTGCTAGAGAAAACCACACAACTGGGACCAGCAGATTGCATAATGGTTGCATTGCTGGACTCTCACATAGTCGACCACAGTTCAAGTCCCAGACCTAGAAGCATAACACTCATGCTAGGCATGTGTGCATGAGTGCCTAAAATCCCAAGAGGCGAATGGAGAGAAGGGATTGCAGCATGGCCAGTCCCCCCCAGGGGGTGATTTCTTGTTTTCTGTCTGTCTCTGTCTCTCTGGAGAGTGCACACATCCTATAGCAAAAATCTCTCTAAAAGAAAACCACACAACTAAATTCACTGACTGTATTAAAAAAATTTTTTATAATGGAAATCTGACACTTTTAAAAATTTATTCATTCATTTATTTTAATTTGACCAGAGAGAGGGAGAGAAAGCAAGAAAGCAAGCCACCAGGTCCGGGACTTGAACCATGGTTGGCCAAGTGGGAGTGTCCAGCGCCTTAACCACCAGGCCACCTGCTGGTCCCTCACTGACTATATTTTAAATTAATGACTATAAAACTCTAACGGGCACTCAATATTGCCTAGAAGTCCCACTTATACTTCCCTAGTACATCTGATTCCTTGCCTACAAGATGGCAGTTTTACAACGTTTTTCTCTTTTTATCCCCTACCTTACCTTGTTTAGTTTCTCGTGTTTTACTAAGAAAGTCAGACAGGATGGTGCCCATACTCTCATCATCAAAACTATAAATGTACTGCATCTATACATATGCTGTAGTCTCTCCTGTTAAAATTCAAGAAGAGGGCCAACAGGTGGTGTGGTGGTTAAGGTACTGGACTCCCACGTGGCTAACCACGATTCAAGTCCTGCACCTGGTGGCTTGAAACAGACTGGGTACTTGTGCGTGCCCCAAATCCCGAGAGAGACTGGAGGAGAAGGGACTGTGGCATGGCTGTTCCCCTGGGGAATGATTTCTCAACTTCCCTCTCTCTGCTCTCTCTCTCTTGCAAGCACACATGCCCTATGGCAGAAATCTGGGGGAAAAAAATAAAAACACAAAAAACTCAAGAAGGGACTGTGCTCCTATCAAAGGCAGTCCCCCTGCTCATGCTCCAGACCTTCTAAGAACTTTACTCTGCAGCTTTTCCTCTGTCTCGTCTTCATCATCTATTTCTCCTTCTTTACTGGATAATTCTCATTAGATTAAAAATACTCCCGACAATCTTTCTTGCCTTTGAGCCCACAATCTCTTCTAGATACGATCCTATTTCTCTACCTTCCTTTATGAGAAACTCTTTAAAAATATTATATCCATTTCCTGTCTCCATTTTATCTTATATTTTGTAAACTTGTCTATTAGTAATTCCAATCTCACTGAAATGGGGGGATAAGACCATGAGAAACCTCCATGTTGCCAAAGCTGATGATCTCCTTACTTTCCTCACCTCGTGTGGTTTTACCTCTCAGGAGACTAGACAAGGTTGAGCACTCACTCCTTGAAGGTCTTTCCCTCCCCCCTAAGAAAAGGCAATTAGTTTATCCATTCAATTGCTATATGTCATTTAGCTTGTAGAGAGAATTTACCCAACATGACACACACCTCAGACCAGTCCAACTGAGAATACTATACACGTTATCATCAACAGGTAATAAACCATTTCTGTGTCCCACAGTTGTCTTACTTCTCTATTTTTCTCCCTATTTTCCTTCCCTACATGCTCCCCTTCTCCCACCCTCTTCTTCAAGAGGGTCTTTTTGACACCATGCTCTCCTGGTTTCCCCCTGCCTTTCTGCCTCCTACCCAGGCTCCGGGCTTGGTTCTGGGCTCTTTCCTTTTCTCTTTCTATGTATTCTCTTCAAGTGGTCGTAACTGGCCCTGTGGCTGTAAGTATCACTAATATCGTTAACTCCCAGTTTAGGATGTGACATTTCCACTCGGTTATCTAATAGGCATCTCCTACTTACCAATAAAACTCTATTTCACCTCAAAATCTGAGAGTTATTTTCTCTTACCCTATTCTGTCAATACACTCCATTAAATAAGTCTACTACTGTTGCCTTCTCTCTCCTATCCACTTTCATTCTTTTTTTTTTTGGAGAGATTTTTGTTACAGGGAACATGTGCTCACTTGGAGAGATAGAGACAGAGAGACAGAAAGTGAGAAATCACCCTTCAGGGGAATGACCATGCCACAATTCCCTCTCCTCCATTCTCCTCTGAGGAGTCTGAGCACACACGCACATGTGTCTGGTGTGAGTTTCAAGCTGCCTGGTCCAGGACTCAAACTGTAGTCACCACATGGGAGTCCAGAGCCTTAACCACCATGCCACCTGCTGGCCCCTCCACTTTCACTTCTTACCTGGACTGTAGCAGCCACCTCCTCAGTACCCTCCCCGCTTCTGTTTATGCCTCTGATAACCCATTATCCCTATAAATGAATCTTTTAAGACAATTCTGTTCACATCACTTACGTGCATAAAGGTCTGCTATGGCCTCTGTGATATTTAACAGTAAAAAACTCTTTGCTGGGACTACTAGGCCCCATGTAATCCAGCCCTGTTATCTCAGTGTCTCATTCCCTCCTTACTCACTGGGCTCCAGTCACATGGCTTCTTTCTGTTTATGAACTTGCCAAGTTCCTCTTTCTTCACGCCTTCGGCCTTCATCCTGGTGTTCCCTTTGGTTAGGATCGTTTTTCTCCTAATCATTATATAATAGGCTCTTTCTTGTAATTCAGATTTTATGTCAAATATCACCTCCTCAGAGGTTCTCTCCATCTAAAGCAGCCCTTCCCACCCTCCCAGTTATTTTGAGCTCATCACTCCACGTGTTTCTCTATGCCCTTATCTCATTCAAACTGGATTCTCCGTCTACTTGTTTACTCTGTCTCTTTCAGGGAAGTTCCTTGAGGGCAGGTATCTTGCCTTTCCTGTCACTTCTCAATTCTGAGCATCTACACCAGTTCTCCACATACCGAAGGCATCCAATAAGCACCTGTGGTACAAAGGGATGAAGCAGCTGAGTTGCTAATTACACGTGTATTTGGGTTACAGTGACAGATGCTAACAGGTGCTGACCACTGACAAATGTGCATTTTGTTAGAAGAGCATCATTGTGAGCTCTGGGAACGAATGATGTAACTGACAAAAGCTAGCTGTTGTGCACAGCCATACACCATATATTCTGGTGTCTATGGTTTCCCTTCAACAATAAGCAGCTAATTTCTTATTCAGTAATTCTTACATGAAATACAAAAGCAAGTTTATGTTTTTGCTTTTATCACATTAATAACAAGGTTCCAAAATAGAGTTGTCTAAAAATCTCTCACATAGGTGAATAACTCTGAGCTGGTTTTCATTCTTCCCACTTAGTTGACATCTCTAAATCTTGATGCCAACATCCTTAAACATTTCATCTGAATGAGTGTACTCTCTGAATTTAACACAGATGTTCTGCCTCTCAACCTTGGATTTTTAAAAGATGGTTTTTTTTTCTGTTCTACATCAAATTTGTTTTGTTTTGTTTCTTTTTTTTTTGGAGAGGTTTTTTGCTATAGGGCGCGTGCACTTGCCAGCCAGCCAGAGAGAGACAGAGAGACAGAAAGCGAGAAATCCCCCCCCCCCCCAGGGGGGATGGCCATGCCGCAATCCCTTCTCCTCTATTCTCCTCTCAGGATCTTGGGCACACACGCACACGCGCCCGGCGTGAGTTTAAGCCACCGGGTCCGGGACTCAAACCATGGTCAACTACGTGGGAGTTCAGCGACATAGCCATTATGCTAACTGCTGGTTCCTGCATCAAAATTTTTTTAAACGAACAAAGACAAAACAATATTCTTTATCAAATAAAAGAGTCATCCATGCGCCTCAAAACATTTTTCTCTTTCAGAAATTTGTTGCACTTAAAAATACAATACTTCCCAGGCTCTTGGGTTGTTATTAGCTAAAATAATAGAAGAATTATACCAGTAGTACAATTTTCA